AGAGAAAGAAAGGAAGAGCAAGAAAAAGGAAGGGAGAGAAAGAGAGAAGGAAAGAGGAAGGGGGAGAAAGAAAGAGAGAGAAAGAAAAAAAGAAGAAGGAATAGGGGGAGAGAGAAAACTCTGTGCTATTATTTTTAATTATTCCATTACTTATCATATATTAATATTTTACACTGTCCGTACACCTAGAGTGATTTTATTGCCTTTCTTTTGCCAAGGTATTTTTCAGGGTTTACATGTCAATAGTCCAGAGCATAAATACAGGTGTGTTTAACAGAGTTGAAAGAGACTATGGAGGTCTTCTAGTCCAACCTCCTGCTCAGGCAGGAAAACTGAGGGTGCCAAATTCTGAGCAGAGGTCCTGGGAAAGGTGTCAGAATAACAGAATAGCACTTAGAAGGGACCTTGGGGGGAACTCTATACCATTTCAGAGAAATGGTTGTCCAATCTCTTCTTAAAAACTTCCAGTGTTGGAGCACCCAGAACTTCTGGTGGCAAGCAATTCCACTAGTTAATTGTTCTCACTGTCAGGAAGTTTCTCCCTACTTTTAGGTTGCTTCTGTCTCTGTTCAGTTTCCATCCTGCTTTGGAAAATACATTGTTTGCCTTCTGGTGCTTTGGAAAATACATTGCTCCCCCTCTTTCTGGCAGCTCCCTAAAAGCCTGTTTCCTATCACCCTCTTGGGCAAAGCATGTGAGCCATTTCCTCCTTTCAGTGGTCCATAAAAGTACATCTATAGTACCTAGATAATAAAGTCAAAAAAAGGTGAACAACATTTTTACAGAACTATAGATAAGTTGAGGCTAGGTGTGACAAAGAATAGCTGGGGGGGAAGGGCCAGGCGAGGCACCCCTTGATGTGAGTGATATTGAGTTGGCCACACCCACCCAGTCACATGACCACCAAGCCATGCAGCCAGTCACGTGACCACCCCAGTCACATGGCCACAAGCCATGCCCACCCAGTCATGTGATCCTAAGCCATGCCTACTAACTAAGCCATGCCCACAGAACTGGTAGTAAAAAAAATTTGAATCCCACCACTGGATAGATAGATCACTGAATGATTCTTTACTTTATTTGCGGTCACAGACCAAAACACAAGTACAACAAAAGAAGAACGTGGGAAAATTAATCATGAACAATTGGTCACCAAAAACTTGACTAAGGGGAATTACAGCATTCTCCTCTGATGGTTACAGCTCTTAAAAATATCGGAAACCTGAGAAGTGATGTATGAGGAGCCATCCCCTAGACAATATAAGAACAAATTACTAACATTGGGTCTAGAAAGGTCTGTTTCAAGGAGAGACAGTAACTTAGATCTGCCTGTGTTATACATAGGGCAATATAAAAGGACATGCTCCACAGTTTCAACCTCAGCTCTGTCACAGGGGCATAGCCGCTCGTTCATCGGGAGCCTCTTAAATTGCCCATCCAGTAGTGTTGAGGGAAAGATTAAAAGCGAGCTAGGGAGAAAGCTCTTCTATACTTGGTAAAAATAGGAAGCCATCCTCAGTCCGTAATTATTAAATTGGCTGAAGATCAGAGGGGAGCAAGTTTTGTTAGCTCTGGCTCGTAGATATTGCAAGTCAACGTCCACAAGACATTGGACTACCCTAAATTGGGCGTCCTTAAGGCCATAATCTCCCAGGGCATCCCCCGTAAAACCTAGCAGGTGTAATTTCGTCATCAGCTCCCTCTCCCAATGAGAAATATGAGAGTCAGCAAACGCCAGGGAGAGGTAGCTACCAGGAACTGCCAGAAAGAGCCCCTGAAAC